AACCCCAAAAAAAAAAAAAAAAAAAAAAAAAAAAGAAAGGTGGAAGATGTATATAAAATTTAAATAAGTAAAATTTGCTAGAAAATATTAAAAATGCAATACTGTGATTGCTAGGACCTCAGAGGAGGAGAGAATAAAGGGTTATTATTTAATAGGTACATAATTTTAGTTTAAAAAAATGAAGCTCTGGAAATGAATGATGGTGATGGTTGCATAACTAACGTTATTGCACTGTACACTTGAAAATAGTTATAATGCTAATTTCTTTTTAACGGTTTGCTATAGGGCACAGGTGCTCACTGGTGAGAGACAGAGGTGAGAAATCACCCCCAAGGGGGGATGGCCACACTGCAATCACTATTCTCCTTTGAGAGTCTTGGGCAGGCATGTATACATGCCCTGAGTGATTTTCAGGCCACCAAGTTTGAGACTTGAACCACAGCCAGCCATGTGAGAGTCTAGCACCTTAAACCCACGCCACCTACTAGTCCCTCAAAATGACAAATTTTATATTATGTATAACTTACTATACACACAGATGTGCACGCATACACACACACACACACACACACACACACACACACACAGAGAATATAGTGTCTTCCCAGATGGACGAGCTCAGTATCACGAACATGTTGAGTCTTTCCAAATGAATTTAAATACTATGCAATTCTAACAAAATCTCAGAATGGTTTATTAAAGTTTGATTAATTTATTGAAGTTGTTCCTAAAATTCATTTCATGAATTTATTCAATAAATTATGTTGAGACAGTTAAGAAGTCATCTGGAAAAAAATTGCTGGAATTATGTCTCACGCCTCACACCAAAATAAATTTCAGATGAATAAAAGATGTTCACCATGAAAGTACTAAAATGACACCATGAAAGTACTAAAATTAATCACAAGAGAAATTTTTAAAATAATCTCAATTTGATAAAAGCCTTTCTAATGTGAACAAATATTATAAGCCATCTAAATGAAAATGGTAAATCCAGCAAAATGAAGGTTTTCTGGCTATCCCTGTGGCCTAATGGTTAAGGGAGTCAGATTCCACATGGCTGACAGGCTGTGATTCAAATTCTGGCTTGAAAAGCATACAAGGCGTGTGTGCTGAAAATCCTGACAGGATGGAGAAACAGAGAAGGGATCGTGATGTGACCACACCCCATTGGGGGTGTTCCTCACCTCCCATCATCCCACACCATCTCTCTAATGCTCCCTGGTGAGCACTCTGTCCTCTGGCAATTAAAAACATAATTAATATTTTCTTCATGATAAAAGAAAACCATGATAAAAAAAAATACAAAGAAAAGAAACTGGGGGGAAAAATTGTAACAGCACAGGAAAATGCTAATTTCCTTAAATACACTCATTAGGGTCGGCCCTATGCAGCACAGTGGCTAGGTGCCATTATACTTGGAGAAAGCCAGATTGTTGGAGCAGGCAGGTGGCGTAGTGGTTAAGGCCCTGGACTCACACATGCCAACCAGGCCTAAGTCCCTGACTTAGCAGCTTGAAAATCATGCCGGCTGTGTGTGCATGCGTGTCCAAGATTCTGAGAGGGGAATAGAGGAGAAGGGCCTGCAGGGTGGCCATCTCCCCTGGGGGGTAATTTCTCACTTTCTCTCTGTCTCTCCAGTAAGTGCACACACACTACAGCAAAAATCTCTTCAAAACAAAGAAAGCCAGGTCACACATGGCCTACCAGAGTTCAAATTCAGACCCTGTTGGCTTAAAAACTACACTGGGCACACATGTGTGTGTCTAGGACCCTAATGGGAAAGAGAATTTGAGGAAAAAGGATTGCAGTGTGACCAGAACCCACTGAGGGGTGTGTCCTTTCTCTCGTTCTTTCATGAACAACACTGGCATTAAAAACAAACAAACAAAAAAACCCACGTTCATGAAAACACTAGTCTCTTAAACTGGATAGTATTTGGTAAATACTATCATTGAATACAAAAATTTCCATTTAAAATTTTGGGATCAGCAGTTAGTGTAATGGCTATGTCGCCGGACTCCCATGTAGTCGACTGCGGTTCAAGTCCCAGACCTGGTGGCTTAAACTCATGCCAGACGCATGTGTGTGCGTGCCCAAGATCCAGAGAGGAGAATGGAGGAGAAGAGATTGCAGTGTGGCCATCCTCTCTGGGGGGTGATTTCTCGCTTTCTGTCTCTCTGTCTTTCTCTGTCTTTCTGGCAAGCGCACGCACCCTATAGCAAAAACTTCTCCAAAAAAAGAAAAAAAAAATTTAACGCACATTAATCCACTAAAGGTTCTGAAGTCATTTAGTAAAGCATTTCCTGACCTTAGTAGAATACTAAATCTTTTTTTTTTTTTTGCTATGGGGCATGGGCATACACTGAAGAGAGACAAAGACAAGAGAGAGAAAGAAAAATCACTTCCTGCCCCTACCCCCAGGGAGGATAACCCCTGCAACCCTTTCTCCTCCATTCCCTTCTCTGGGCATACACTGAAGAGAGACAAAGACAAGAAAGAGAAAGAAAAGTCACTCCCTGCCCCTACCCCCAGGGAGGATAATCCCTGCAACCCTTTCTCCTCCATTCCCTTCTAGTGGTTTTGGGTATACACACATACATCTGGTGTTTTTTTCAAGCTGCCAGGACTTGGACTATAGAGTCAGTCATACTTAATTGCTATAAAAATACCATAATAAGTTGGAATTACTCATTATCCACTTGTACAGGGCATTTTAATTTCAATTCTCAAATATAAAATACCTGAATGTTATGCTCGAAGCAGGTCAAGGTTTGATTAAACAGACTGAGGAAATACACTGTGCTGTTTGATAATTCTTCGCTGCTGTTCGATAAGCAATCTGTCAAAACAAAACCCAAAAAGTATATCAATACATATCAAACAATTACACGCTGTCACTTCTCTCACAAGCTATCATCCTGTTTTGAGGTATTGTAGTTCTGTATTCAGACAAGCATTAAGAACGCCACATAAAAGAACTTTCCACATACATAAAAGCTTACCCCCTTTGCATTTCCAAAGTGGTTTTTTTTAATTATACCATTTTCATAAAAACCTTAAAATAATTACAGATTCTCCTCTTTCTGTAAAAACAATATACCAGGGCCGGCAGGTGGTGTGGTGGTTAAGGGTGCTGGACTCCCACATTGCAGACCATGGTTAGAGTCCTGGACCTGGTGGCTTGCTTTCTCACACCCACCTGCACGCTCTGGTCAAATTAAAATAAATCAGTAAAATTTTAAGATAAAATAAGATAAACATAAAAACAATATAAAATAAATAAAATTTAAATTGACTTTTGATGGTACAAAGTCATAATTGTGAATATCAAATACTGCCTGAATAGTCTGGCCTCTGTTCCTACAAGTAGTCATCTATTTCCACCTCATTCTCCTAGGCTCCCTGCCCTCTTTTCTTCCCACTAGTCACGATCATTTCCAACCCTGGGCAGCCTCCACCTACTTTCTCTACACCCAGTTCTGCTTACTGAAGACTACTATGGAAAAATCCTAAAATTATTACAATGGGACCCAATTCAAATTCATGTTTTCTGATAATAGGGGCATGAAACAATCCTTATAGGTGTCCTACTCATCTCTCCACAAGGGAAGTTCCAAACATTTCTCTAGTATGCAGCCCCTCTCCCATCTCCCTTAATTCCAACAGATAGCTTGAAGGCATATCCACCTTACTGAGAAATCCAGGGCCACCTACTAGGCTCTCTCTCAACTGGGAGTGTACAAACAACACAGGAAGTGCTTACAAAAATGCAGAAGAAAAGTGGCAGTGAGAACAGAAATAACTGGGTGGAGTTAAGGCTGGATGGGTAGGCACTAAAATAAGGTGCACTCAGGGATCTCCAAGTACTGTGACAACTACCTGCCATTACAGTGACGACTAACATTTGCTGAGCACTTGTTTATGCTCATACTTAAACACAGCCACTCGCTGAATTCCTACAGTTCTGTGAGGTAAGAACTACCATTCTCCATGTTGTAAACATGGAAGAGAGGTTCAGAGAAATTAAAGAGGTTGCCCAAGGTCACAAAACTGATCAATGAAACCGGAATTTCCACTCAGTCTGACCAGTGTACCTGCAGTCTCAATCAGCACAAAACAACATACTCACATCTCCATTCTAAACCACTGAAAAGTTCAAGACTCAGAGTGAACCGGCATGTGCCATCCCACTCCTCATAGACATCTTACACCACACAGGGATTCGGGCAGTTACTACCCACTGGTCAGAGCTGGCACCTGAGGAGAAACTACCAGGTAACAGAGGGGAACTAGCACATTAAGTAAGACTCCTTAGTCCAAGTGGGTGGATGAATTACAAACGGGCACGTGCACCTCCAAAAGCCAAGCTGGAATTCAGACCTATTCACCCCCCCACAGACCTCGGAGCAGGCCTGCCGGCACCCCGTGCACATGGGGCCTCTGCACAGACCTACTCCTAGATTCTTCCCCTCTCAACTAGCACACTCTACTTTCTCTGCAGTTACTGTCTCAAAGGTTCGAGTCCTGCTCTAAATGTTCATCCTGTTGTTTAAAAATTTGACAGATTGCTCTACAAATTAGAAAACTTAAGCCAGAAAAATAAGGTAATATTCTGAGAACCATACACCAAGTTAGAAAGAGATTAAGATACAAAAACACAATACTCCCAATTAAGTATTCTTTTATGTCACCTTTTCTTTACAATTCAAATGTTACTCTGTCAGCTTTCACAAAGTTCTTTTTTTAAAAAAAAATAGAACATAAGCTCATCTTGCGATAGGGCGTGTACACTTGCCAGACAGACAGAGACAGAAAGCAAGAAATCACCCCCAGAGGTGATGGCCACACCACAATCCCTTCTCCTCCATTCTACTCTTGGGATCTTGGGCACACACGCACACGTACCCGGCTTGAGTTTTTTTTTTTTTTCCTTTGGAGAGATTTTTGCTACAGGGCGTGTGCGCTTGCCAGACAGACAGAGACAGACAGAGAGACAGAAAGCGAGAAATCACCCCCCCAGGGTGGATGGCTACGTTGCAATCCCTTCTCCTCCAATCTCCTCTCGGGATCTTGGGCATGCACGCATACGCGCAGAGCATGAGTTTTAAGCCACTGGGTCCGGGACTTGAACCACGGTCGACTGCATGGGAGTCCAGTGACATAGCCATTATGCTAACTGCTGGTCCCCCCGGCTTGAGTTTTAAGCCACCGGGTCTAGGACTTGAACCACTGTTCACTACATGGGAGTCCAGTGACATAACTGTGACACCATCTGCTGGTCCCAACCCCTCTTAAGGCTGTTTCAATATCACCATGAAGTTGCCCTGAATCCTTTCAGGGATGAAGCAGAGCAGATATAAATAAAAACAAACACAGTTCCACATATAAGGAATATATAAGGCTAAGAAGACTGAATAGATTTTCAGTTTTGCAGGAAAGTGGAGGGAGTACTTCATCACAGCAATTGCACACCTGTGTAGTAATAACCCGTGTCGTGACAGCTAACACCCAATATAGAGATGAGAGGGTTGTATCTCTGGGTCGCCTGCAAAAGTAGTATACAGTGCATTACTATAAGACAGCAAGAGCAATTTTCTCTATACGAGATACATGATTAAAATACATAGTATCTTTATAAAAAGATAACTCATAAAGAAAGTTCCTCTGAAGAACAAAATAACTTTATTTCTTTTACTAATAGCCATTGACTTTTCATTTAAAATAATCTGAAAATTAAAAAGCTAATATAGACTGGCCATCTTGTTGAGTACTGCATTAATGCAATGCAGTCGAAATTTTTCAACGATCATCAGTGGTGTTATAAAACACAAAGGAATTAATTTATATAATAGATTTAAAATGTCTTCATTACTTAATAACTCTGACTTCCTAATTCAAAACAAAGAAACTCCAGTAAAATTCCTTCTATCCTTTTGCAGGAATTGAGAGCATAAGGTTCTACCAATGACAAGCTATTTATTTCAAAAACTAGTAAGTTAAGGAATATTAGATAACGAAGCTTCCTATACACAATCCGTGAAGTGGCCATTATGAATTTTCCTCATCTCGGATAATCACTGAAGCCTCATCAAGGACAGATTAGCATAGCTTCTTTCTCAGTGGAGGGCTTGGGCATCAGCTCAAGAGGCAATTCTTACAGGTGTTAAAGATTCCCGTTAAGACTTTACATAGGAACCTACCAAATTATCAAACAAAAATTAAGCATCTTTAAAGTATCTGACATCTATTAGGAGTTTGTATAAAGATCTCTGCTTCTGCTCCAAACTGGTTTTATTAAAAAAAAAAAAAAAAAAAAAAAAAAGAGAGAGAGAGAGAGAGAGATCACCAATTTCTTAAAAAATAGAACAAGCTTCAGAAAACAGAACTAGAAACTCTGTACCTGAACAGCCTAATTAAGTTTAATAACCATGAAAACTAAGACATTTTAAATTATAATATACAAATAAATGAGTCTAATGCTTAGTATATTCTACCTAGGTAAAATAAGAGAAGGAGGGCTTCTGGTTAGGTGCCCTTCTGGTTAGCCATTAAGTTTATTCATTTTTAAAGCACCAAGACACAGTTTGTACGTACTAAGTGAAAGGTAATTTTCCTTTGATGCATGAGAACACATATGAGGATTACATGGTGGCTCCACAGCACCATTCTGTTCATAAACTATCACCCAGATCACTATAGATAAAGGTTTCTCATAAAGGGACCAGCAGTTGGCATAATAGCTATGTTGCTGGACTCCCACATAATCGATCGTGGTTCAGGTCCCGGACCTGGTGGCTTAAACTCACGTTGGGAACGTGTGTGTGCGTGCCTAAGATCCTGAGAGGAAAACGGAGAAGGGACTGTGGCGTGGCCAACCCCCCTGGGGGGTGATTTCTCGCTTTTTGTCTCTCTGTCTCTATCTTTCTGGCGAGCGCACACGCCTTATAGCAAGAACCTCTCCAAAAAAAAAAAAAGGTAAGAGTGGGTTTGCAGTTTATAAGAACAAGAATCTGGTTATGGGGGGGGGTATCTTATTAAAATAACACATTACATTAGATAATGCCTTCTAAAGAACCAGAATACTTTACCATAAAACAGTCTCATCAAATCTTGTTACTCTGCTAATTGCTTAACTACGGTATATGCAAGACAACCAAGACGGGTCTAAATAGCAAGGCTATTCCCATGGCAACAATATGCTTCAGATAATAGCCTTAAAGTCCTGTACAGGAGAAATCTTTAATACCCTTTACTTCTTAGCAATCCTTTTCTACAAGGAAGAACTAGTTTCCATATTATCTATACTAGGAGTAGAAAGAGCTGAGCTTTTAACACTTCTCTTAACTTTACATCAACTTCCAATAATCGTTTCTTACCAGACTCATGGGAGTGGTCCATGGATGGCACACTCTCCTGTATCAGACCCCCAGTTATCTTTTCATCAGCTAGAGGCAAAATGCCAACCCTACTTCAAACTAAGTCAAGCAGAATGGAGAGGAGGTTTTAATGATATTCTAATAATGTTTTATCTTTTGGTATTTAAGAAAAAAATTTTTCTAATTGTCAGAGGGTGTATGCACTCACCAGAGAGACAGAGAAAGGGAGCAAGTGCTTCGAAATTTTTCCATCCTGTTGGGACTTTGGGCATGCATGTACATGTACCTGGTATGCTTATTAAGGTGCCAAAGCTGGGATTCAAACTATGGCTGGCCATGTGGGATCCAGCTCCTTTAAACACTAGACTATGGGATCAGTCCTTCATTTAAAAATATTTTTTTTTTGCTTTAGGGCGCGTGCGCTCGCCAGACAGAGACAGACAGAGAAACAGAAAGCAGGAAATCATCCCCCAGGGGGGATGGCCACGCCGCAATCCCTTCTCCCCCATTCTCCTCTCGGGATCTTGGGCATGCACGCACACGCGCCCGGCGTGAGTTTAAGCCACTGGGTCCGGGATTCGAACCGCGGTCGACTACATGGGAGTCCAGCAACATAGCCATTATGCTAACTGCTGGTCCCTAAAAATATTTTTAGTAATACTGGGTCTGGGACCAGAAGTTGGCGTAATGGCTATGTCACTGGACTCCCATGTGGTCGACCACGGTTCGAGTCCCAGGCCTGGTGGCTTGAACTCACGCCAGGCACATGTGCGTGCATGCCCAATATCCCAAGAGGAGAATGGAGGAGAAGGGATTGTAGCATGACCATCCCCTATGGGAGGGGATTTCTTGCTTTGTCTCTCTGTCTCTTTCTGGTGAGCACATGTGCCCTATAGCAAAAACCTCTCATTCATACATACATACATAATATTGGGTCATCAGTAAAATTATGATGTGTTTTTCTATGCAAAAATGCATCATGACTTTTCCGAAGACCCACTATCCAATATTTTACAAAGAATTCTAAGAGCCTCTGATATGGTCTGGCTGTGTTTCTCAGAATACATGTGTTGAAACTTAAAAGCCAATATGAAAGTATTAAGAGATGAGGTCTTTAGGAGGTGATTAGGTCATAAAAGCTTCTCCCTTGTGAATGAGGTTAAGGCCCTCACAAAACAGACTCAACACTGCTTCCAGTCCTTTTTGGCTCTTCTGTCACGTGAAGATACAGCAGTAGTTACCTTCTGCTCTTTCCATCCCTCTGCCATGTGAGAATACCCTGACAGGACCCTTTATGAGAAACAGGATTTCACCAGGCACCAAACCTGCTGGCATCTTGATTTTGGACTGCTCAGTCACCAGAACTGTGAGGAATAAACTTCTGTTGTCTATAAATGACCAATCTATGGTATTTTGCTAGAGCAGCACAAATGGACCAAGATAGCCCCTTAAATGCACTTACAGGAATTTTTACCCGTATAATCATAGTTTTGCATGTACTGGCAAAGGGAATGAGAATAGTCAAATATCAAAACATATAAGCCAGGCCAGCTCCATGGCTGACCACACAGTTCAAGTCCCAGACTCAGCAGTGAGAAGCATGCCAGGTGCACCAATGTGCGTGCTCGTGATCCTGAAGGGATGGAGAGATGGTGGAGAGGGATTACAGCATGACCATGTCCCATAGGGAGTGCTTAGTGCTTTCCTCTCCCCTTCTCTCTCTCTGGTGCGTATATATGCTTTCTATTAATAGCAACAAAAAAAATTATATATATATAAAATAAAATATTGGGTTGTCAAAAAAGTCATGACACAGCTTTGCATAGAAAAAAGGTGTCATGACTTTTCTGACACTCATATCTATACTTTACATACTGAATTATTTGATCTTTACATGTGTGTATATATAATGTATAAATACATATATTCCTACAAAATAGATCACACATTGATTTAAGACTCACTTAAAAAGCAAATTTATAAAGAAATCAGTGGTCCATGTTCTTCTGTAATTTTTTCTCTTCCCATTTTACCTTTCAGATACTAGGCTAAATGGACTCCATATTATTTACCATTAAAGATCCTCACTGCTGGCATCACTTCTGAGCTTTGTATTTGCAAATTTAATTGTTTAATAATTAAAGTCTTTCACACAGGTTCTGAGGAAACTGATCAGATTTTCTTTGTGTTAAAAAGGCAAGTAATTGAGATATTCATTTTTGAATATTTATATTGTGATTTTTGATGACAGCATACTAGGTAAACTTCTAACTGGGCTCAATGACTGTCTCAGTCCATTTTTTGCTGCTCTAAACAGAATACCTGAGACTGGGTAATTTATAATGAACAGAAACTCATTAATTCATTTATTTGTAAATTAACAATTTATTGACTTACCTAGCTTCAAAGATTCCAAAATTCAGTAAAATACAATCTGGTATCTGTACTACTGAACTGTAACTGCAACACGAAGATGAAAGAACCACTTACTTGCACAATTTGCCTCCTTCCATGTATTATTAAAAAACTCAGAGAGAACCAAAACTATTTGCATTCTATCTGCCATTAAGAGACTTCTGGCACAACTCTGACTCTCTGAAGTATTCTGTAACAAAAAGAAGATAGAAAAATATAATCTATGTTTAGACTTTTTGCAAACAACTTGAGGTAAAATCTTGTTTAAAAAATTAAAATATTATAAAAATTTAACACTTTGATATAATCAGATAATAATGACATTAATAACAACAATGGTAACAGTAGTAATTAAACAATTATGGCACCAGGATCACTTACAAAGAAGGAAAATCTTTGCTTCTTAAATAAGTATTTATTCCTATAGGAGGAGTTCAACTACTTAGGTCTAAATCACTTGTGTGTCATGTTTCTTTTTTTTTTTAAAGAATTATTTTATTTAATTTTATTTATCATTATCAATCTTTTAAATTTGCTATAGGGCACCAGAGAGAGACACAAAAGTAAAGTGAGAAAGCAGGCCACCAGGTCCAGGACTTGAACTGCAGTCAGCCATGTGGAAGTCCAGCACCTTAACCACCATGCCACTTGCAGCCTAGTTTGTTTGTGTCAAGTTTCTTACTTTCAAATCAGGAAAAAGAATTACAGAAAGCTATTCACCCACACCCCACATGACTGATCAGTTTATCTCCAGATAACAAAAATGTGCTGGTTTTTTTTTTCAGTTTTGTTTCTCTTATACTATCAATTTTTCTATGATGAACATATATTATCTATATCATTTTCTAATCTGGTGGGTAAATGATCATATATCATTTAGTTTCATCTTCTGGGCAAATTTTTGGTTCAAAGTATTGTAATCCACAAGAAAACGTGACACATCAGGTTTAACCAAATAGTTTGTACTTAGAAAAACATGCTTTTCAGGGACTTTAATAATGAAAGAAACTTATGCCATACAAATAATAAACCCAAGGTACTAAGTTATGTGATCCTCACCGATTTCCTTTCCCTGGTGCCTCACAAGGAATTAAGTACTGCTCGTATCCTCACCCTTCACCTTTTAAAGTTATTTGACTCCTACGACTTACCAGCCACTGTAAGAATCCAGGGTTTTTGGAGACATTAAAAAGCATAAGAGAATGCCATCAACACCGGGACTTCAAGGATCTCTCCACAGACAAACAGATAAGAAGTTACATGGTGTTGGGACCAGCAGTTAGCGTAATGGCTATGTTGCTGGACTCCCATGTAGTCAATTGCGCGT